TTCTAAGGATACCCTGGAAAACTTGTTGGATATAAAAATCTGATAAATACACATGCCATACTTTATTTTTACCTGACTGAATAACATTTTAACCACTTGCCACCTGGCCTATGGTCAAATGACGGCCAGGAGAACACTTCATCCCTCCGGGAGGGCGTCATATGATGTCCTTCCCAGATCGAGGTTTGCGCATGCCTGCAGGGCAGCGCTGTAGCGAGATCTGTCACCGGTCATGTACCTCGGACAAGGCCGATGACAGATCTATGTACCGGCCCCCGTTGCCAGTACCATGTGACCTGCTGCGACCAATCACAGCAGGTCACATGACAGTTGTATACAATGGATGGCTTCCTTTCATGCCATCCATTGTATACAACTGTGTCTAGTTATGAATGGTCACAGCGATTACATGCACAGGCTGGGTCAATTACAGCCTATCTGTGTCATGTGATTAGCCATGGCCACTCACAGCTAATCATAACAAAAAAAAGTTAATCAATTTCATTCAGTTAAATGCTTGCTTACAGCAAAGAAATAATTTGCTATAAGCAATCAAATTAAAAAAAAATTAAAATAAAATACTGATCACTTCGCCAAAGTAGTACAATGTTACTATGGTAATATTATACTACTTTGGTCATGGTGCAATGTGAAAAACAAATCTTAAAAAAAGAGAACAAATGTAATAAAAAATTGAAAACAATTATCATTTTTTTTCATACTGTCACCAGTGTCCCTGATCACTGCCACAACAGTTATATGCTGATGCTGTACTTCACTGGTGATAGTATGTAAAAAAAGATTGTGAAAATAATTTTTTTAATTTCTTCATTTTCCGAAAAATTATAACAAAAAACTCGCCATACCTCTTATGAAATACGTCGGACTGTCTATTTTGCAAAAAGGGGTAATTTGAAAGATATCTGTACTGTTCTGACATTTTTGGGCCTCAAGAAATTAGATTGGCTGTCAGTACTTCAAGATTGATCAATTTTCAGATATATACCATAGTTTGTGAACTGTATAACTTTCCTACAGACTAAATAATAAATACTGATCTGGGTTATTTCCACCAAAGACATGTAGCAGAATACATCTTGGCCTTAATTTATAAAGAACAATTGTATTTATTTGCAAACTTTTATAACAGAAACAAAGAAAACTTGGGGTTTTTTTTTCACAATTTTCGGTCTTTTTTTGTTAATTTAGCACAAAAAAAAAACCCCCAGTGGTGATTAAATACCACCAAAAGAAAGCTGTAGTTGTGTGAACAAAATGATAAAATGTTACTTTGGGTACAGTGTTGCATGATCACGCAATTGTCATTCAAAGTGTGAGAGCGCTGAAAGCTGAAAATTTGGCCTGGGCAGGAAGGGGGTAAAAGTGCCCGGTAAGGGGGTTAAACTGTTATTTGTAGTAAAAATCTAGTAAATAAAGAAATTATACTTTTCTTGTTAGGAAAGCTAACTAGGATTATACCTTGAGGAAAACAATACTGAAAAAGCTGTCTATAATATTCCAGTATTATCACAAGCAGCAGAGAACTGTTGGGGGTTGAGTGTTTGAAGACTCCTAAAACCAAAGTATCCGTCAAAGATTCATATGGACTGGGTGGGCTCCCCCCAATGTTCTATATCTTTAACAGGGAATGCTATCTGGAGGTACAAATCTCTATGTGTGACATTCCCAAACCCTTAAATTTTCTCCACTGGAAACTACTGGTAAGATAATAAGCCACAGCAGTGAAGTACAGAATCGCCAGACAAATGTATATTACATAAGGAAACAAAGAATATGGCAAAATATATAGGTAGACATGAAGAAAAGATGTATTCTGTTTTTAGATTTTTCTGTAACGATTTTAGACCTGTTGACTCATGTCTCCTAACAGTTTCTGGTTACAAATAATAATCATTACATTAGTATATTGAACTGTGGAGATTCCAGTCTTAAGAATATTTAGAGAGAAATTCATTTGTGCAAAATAACAAGTCTTAATAGTCTTTAATAAACCCTGCCCAGTGCTGGAATGTGATGGAATTTCAGTAATGTAAGTAATGTTTACTTTTTGCAGGAATTAATTAACACTCACACACTACTTTCAGACATATATATCAAACATACAGTGTATATTTAACTCCTGTACTAATTATTCTTACACATTTGATTTAAAAAAAAGTGAACAAGTGGAAGGTAGTGCAAAAAGACTATAGGCAAAATGTTACTTTCTGTTGTTGCCCTAGTAAGATTCCTGTGTAATTTTTCCTTCTTTTGCATTTTTCTGCCAATCCAAGAGTCAGATGCTTCTGCAAAAAATTACCTAGTTTTTTTTTTTTTAATATCTTTATTTTGATGCGAGAATGCAGTTAACAATACAAATGGCCACAGCATTTAGCCTATAAGACAATGTAAAAAAAACAATGGAAAGTTTGTTTAGTATAGTTTGAGAACAAACTTTCAATGGTGAGTCAAGGGATGAAAATGTATAAACGTTTGAATGAAAGAAGGCCTCAATGTTTAGATTAGGAGGTATATTGCGGTTTAAATGGAGTAGTGAATGCCAATTGGGGGGTCATTGGTTGGGAGCCGGAGCTAATACCATTGAATATATTGAAAACATAGCATTATAGATTGTTGCGTATCTACGGGCAAGGTTTGGATAAAATATTCCCAAACATAAAAGAAATTGTGGACTTCTAGTTCCTTATGTAAAAGGCCTTCACCCATTCCATGCAAAAACATAGGATAATTTGTCTATAAACAAGGAGTTTTGGGGGGGGGGGGGTTGTTTCTGGGTATATCCACTAACGTATAATGCTTTTCTGCACCACAAGGTATATGATAAAGAGGCATTTTTTTTTTTTTTTGTGGGGGGGGTTGTTTTTTTTTTTCAGCCCCTTGAAACTTTTGTAACAAGATGTGCAGGTTTTATAATACATTGTCATAGTTAACACGTTTTCCACCACAAGTTGGAGCTCTGTGGGCTTAGAGCACAGGTGTCACACACAAGGGCCTCCAGGCCATTTCATGTGGCCCTTCCACCTCTCCCGCAGGTACCCCCTTGTCTCTGCCCCCATCTTGTCTCAGCAGTCAGCAGCAGAGAGGAGAATAGAACTCCTCTGCCAAATCCTGCACCTATCAGTGCATCTGCAGCACCCCCTCATCTCTGCCTTCCCCAGTCTCAGTATTCAGCAGACTTTGGTAACTGACTCCACTTCTTCTCTGAACCTATTCCAAACTCTGCACTTTCGGCCTTCCAGCTCTGCTCATAGGGTGGGGGATTCTTGACATCTGATTTAATGGGCGGTGGGGTGCTCTGGACATCTAGTCTTACAGATACAACCGGCCCTTTGAGGGCAACCATAATGCTGATACTGCCCGTGATGAAATGGAGTTTGACACCCCTAGCTTAGAGCTTTTGGTTTATTCTCAGCTCGAGCACTGAACCCTGGGAAATGTATTTCAAGCCAGGACGGATGCCATTACTACTACCGACAGGGGAAGACCCAGCATGGAAGCAGGAGAAGCCAGATAAGTAGGAAAGCCTGGGAAAGTGCAGGGCAGTGGGAAGGTAGCTGCAGGTGTGTGCACAGGGGAAGGTCTTGTTGCACAGAGAAAGTTTGAGCCAAGGGTTTGGTTACAGATTTTGAGCTGCATCGGAACCAGAGCCTGTCAGTTCCAAAAAGTAAGAATATCAGCTGCCTCCCGCTGAACTAAGCTAGACTGGGTGTTTCAGTGTCTGCTCTGGTTAAGTTCCGTCCAGAGGCCTACTGCTGGATTCGCCCAAGACCCAGAACAACAGATCCAGACCTGCTGAAGAGGGTCCAATCAGGGTTCACTGCTGCATCACAGAAGCCATCATTCATAGGAGTGTTGACAGAAGTCACCTGGGAGCCAACAACAGCTTAAAGTGGGCCTGCTTCTACCAATACCATGAAGCTAGTGAGTGGATTACAGCCCTTTCTCATAATTTGTCAGTTGAATCTGTGTTGACCCATCGGGATATTGTTATTGTCCCTTCATCTGCATTGACACCTCCCATCTGCCCGATGCTGCATATTTATATTCCTACTGGCCAGAATTCATGACAACTAATCACCCTTAAACCACGAGTATTAACTCTTGCATGGCCCCTCTATCATCAGTGCTCTCAGGAGTTCATTGTTCCTTTTACTGACTCACTGTTTGCAGAGACATTTCACCTTACTTTCAAATCCATCAAGCATGCCAATGTCTTCAAAGGACCCCAACATAGTCAACAGAAGATTTACTTTTGAGACTATGTCTAAATTTCTTTTTATTGAGTACAATCTACAATCTATTTATATCTTTCAGTCTTAAAGAAAGGCCTAGGCCTAGCTTCTTCACCCTAGGTAACCTTAGGCAACTTAGCCACTATCTGTATTGGTACCAACTCATTGTTGCCGTAGGTGGCTCATTTCCATGCAGAACACTACAATTTATGCTGGTCTAGCCTGGGTTTAAGGTAGCACACTAACCTTATCAATTGAAGTCTTATAATTACGTGAGCTACAAAGCGTCTTATTGCTATACTCTTGAGTGTTATTTGTCAATATCCTTTGTTACTTTACCATAAGGTCTCGAGTGTAATTTCAGGGTGACCCTAAAGTATTAACCAAAATTATAATTTTTTACGTATTGAGGTGTAAACCTGAGGTACCAGTGGTGCTGAGGTCTTTGCAAATGTCGAGATAAGAACAGAAGATCCAATACAACCAGCGATTCCTTCGGAGGTATCACCATACTTTAATAGCTGGGATGTTGAATAGACCAAAAAGGGCCCATTCAAGACTTATGGGTAGATAGTTCATTAACCACTTGCCTACAGGGCACTTATACCCCCTACTTGCCCAGGCCAGTTTTCAGCTTTCAGTGCCGTAGCGGTCATGTAACACTGTACCCATATGAAATTTTTTGTCCTTCACTGATGTGCGCTAATGAGGCTGCAGTGATGGGCACTGATAGGTGGCACTGATGGGCACTGATGAGGAGGCACTGGTAGGTGGCACTGATGGGCATTGACAGGCATCACTGATGGGCACTGAAAGGCAGCACTCATATACGGCACTGATAGGCGTCACTGATAGGTGGCACTGATAGGCGGCACAGACTGGCACTGTTAGGTGGCACTGACTGGCACTGTTAGGTAGCACTGACTGACATTGTTAGGCGGCACTGATGGGCACTGATAGGTGGCACTGATGCGCACTGATAGGCGGCACTGACTGGCACTGATAGGTGGCACTGACTGGCACTGATAGGCGGCACTGACTGGCACTGATAGGTGGCACTGACTGGCACTGATAGGTGACACTGAAAGGCAGCTCAGATGGGCACTGATATGTGGCATTGATGTGCACTGGTAGGCACTGATATGTGGCATTGATGGGGCACTGATGGGCACTGGCAGGTGGCATTGATGGGCACTGACAGGTGGCACTGCTGGGGTTACACTGATCAGCAGTGCCCTGGTGATCAGTGTACATGTCCTCTCTGGGGAATGCCGATTACCGGCTCTCATCTCCTCTCGAGCTGTCAGCGTGACAGCTTGTGAGGAGAGAAATGTCGATAACCGGCATTTCCCTATTTTACATGCGATCAGCTGTGATTGGACACAGCTGATCACATGACCGAGCCGACATCTTCGTCTCTTTCTGTTGATCGGTGATCCACTGTGTCCGAGGGATACAGCTCACCACCGATCGCCGCGCTGCGTGCTCCCGACATCTTCGGCTCTTTCCGTTGATCAGCGATCCGAGGGACACAGCGCATCACCGATCACTGTGCTGCGTGCTCCCGGAGCCGCGCACGCACGGTTAGAGTGGGAGGACGTCATATGACGTCCTCCCAGAACGAGAGAACTGCCTTGTGCCCATCATTACCTTATATAGCGGTTAAGTATGTGGTAGCATAATGCACCATTGAGTTCCAAAAAATGTTTCATCCTGAGGCATGCCCAGAAGGCATGGAATAAACTAAGCTAGTTTGAAATGTCTGAAAATCTACACAGAAATCTAGACTAGGTCACATAGACTGTATACTGTATCTTACAATTTAGGTTATTAAAATGTAAAGTTATTAGAAACTGCTAACTGTGCTACATCTTCTGTTCTTGTTTGGAATATGAAACTAATGAAGTGTCCCCAAGCCCAGACTGGCCATCTGGCACACCGGGCAACTGCCTGGTATCAGGGCCGCATAACCAGGGCAGCCCGCTTCACTCAGCTGGCCATGGAGAACCCATTCAGTTCACTGCATGGCTGTCGAGGCCGAGATGAGGAGACTAAAGGTCAGCTGACTGTGAAGGGGAGGTGCGGAAGAGGAGAACCCATCACCAAATGTTTGGACAGGTGTCACTGCAGCTGCAGACACCACGCACCCCAGATAAGAGCTGCTTTGCTTGTTAAATAATTTAACTGTGTGATGAGATGCTTTGGTCACTGTCTCTCTCTCTCACAATGTGAATGATACTGAACAGAGGACAACAGAAGGTAAAGTGAAGGCATCAGAGATCAGGCATTTTATCTTCTGTTATCCTCTGTTCAGTGTCACTCACATTGTAAGAGATAGACAGCTCTGACCCAACAAGATGTCCTGCATTTAACCACTTCCCATTTGCTGAACAGTTATGAACGTCCTCGGACAGGGAGGGTGATATCTCGGCCATTGCTACATCTGCACAATGATCTAGATAACATTCTTTAGCCCCAGTGATTCTGCACAAGATAAAAGTAATAAAGGTGGCTAACAAGCTGCTGGATTACTTTTACAGGTGGCGGAAGGGAGATGTTTTGTACATGTAGGAGAGGAATGCCACAATTGGCCCAGACTAAAAGAGGACAAGCTTGACAGTAGGAGAGAGTTTACATAACCAGGCTGTTGCTGGTCTTTGATTGTCCAGGCATAAATGACTGAAGCAGGCTAAATATAACTAAAAGACATCTAAAAACCAGTAATTGTCATTATTTGTACTTTGTATTTTTTTACAAAAAAAGGACTGCTCAGTCTTAAATGCCCAGGCCTATTTTTTGTCCCAGTCAAGGACTGACATTTATCATCCTCCCCCACCATTGCATCACCAACAGCCCCACTCTTTTCCGTATTGTTAGGGTTAAACTAATATAATAAAAGTAAAGATTGTGTCTGGGCTCTTTGCTGGTTTTTTCTGTTTATTTATCAGATCATGACCTCTCCAACCCCCTTGCTGTCTGAAAAAAAGTTGGAGAATTTTCTGTTGCTCGGAAGATTCTCCAAACTGCTGCTGGTCTGTTGTATATGTGCTTCAGTTTGAAACAAACTGTTATCTCCCCCTTCCTTTGTTGCAGATTCTACTTTTCCGGAGGTATAGTCACTCACCTATAAGGGAGGGCATTGTTTTTAGTGGTAAAATTGTGGTTAGTTACAGGTACTTGGTGCTCAAGTAGTGCAGATTGAGCAGGAGGTTTTGGTTGATATTGTCTTCCTCCTTTGTGGGTGACAGTGCCAGGACAAGGTCATCCAGTGCCCAGGGCAAAGATACTTGTCTCCCTCTCCTTCCTGGTTTATTATACAGTCAGTGTGAATGTGCATCCAATTGTCTCTGCCATTCGCATTTCATGTGGAAACAGAAGCGCACGGTGATGTTGTGGAACAGCGACATTGCTAGTCAATGGGTACTCCAAGGAGAACAATGATACAGTGTACACAGCACGCTACAGTGCAGTGGTCAGGAGTATTTAATCTGCAGCCCAGCATAGAATGCAGTGTTCAGAGTACACTCCATTGTACAGTGCTCAGGAGTTTAGTCCAGCAGTCAATAGTGTGTAACGTACAACAGTAAGGGGTATGTGACATATTGCACAGAATGACAGGTGCATGTAATGCACACAGTATGCTACAGAATCCTAACTCTTCACCACTGAACTCTGTGTGTGGTACTGTCTGTCCCCATCAAGTACAAATTTTCCATAGTAAAAACGTTTTTCCCATCATTCACTTTCGTTTCTCTGCAGCGCACCTCTGTCCTTCCCATCCCCAGCTCATTAGTAGACCTTCTGTCTGCAACTCCCCTTGGTACCCCCCATCCAAAGCTCACCTCTGCACCTCCCATTCATAGTTCACCAGTGTACCTCCCATCCAAAGTTCATCTCTGCACCCCCCATCCAAAGTTCATCTCTGCACCCCCCAACCAAAATTCATCTCTGCACCCGTGTCCAAAGCTCACCTCTGCACCCTTCTCCAAAGCTCACCTCTTAACGCCTGTTCAAGGCCTACCTCTGCACCCTATTAATCACCGCTCATCTCTCCATCTTCATTCATAGCTTAGCTCTACATCTCTCATCCACAATTCACCTCTGCACCCCCTTCCACAACTCACCTCTGCACCTCTTTCCGCAACTCACCTCTACACCCTCCCCCCGCCCATGGTTAAATTCTACACCCTCCTCTATATCCTGTCCACAGCTTGCCTCTGCACCCCCAGTCACAGCTAATCCCCAGCCATAGTTAACCCCTGTCAAAAGCTCACCTCTGCACCACTGGCTCAAGCTGACCATGATTCATAGTCCGCGTCTGCACCCATTTACAACAGCTAAGCTCTGCAGCCCTCTTCCCCATCTCCTTACCTCTGCATCCCCCCCCCCACACACATTTTATTTCTGCACCCTTCCTCAGCTGCGACCTCAGCACTGCCCCCCCCCCCCCCCCCCCGCCGTCACCTCTTCACACACACCCTCCACTGCTGTTATCTTCACACCCGTTTGCTTTTCTCTGCACAAACACCTCTCTGCATCTGGGCTGGCACTAGTACCTCTTGCAGCCATGGCTGTTTTCCCACACGCTGCACTGAGTGCACACTCATTTGCTGCTCTGTGGCTCCTCCTCTTGCACTTGGCATTGGCAGCAAGATCAAAAATGGTGGGGGCTTCATCATCAAATAAGAGATGGGCATCATGGAGGGTACAGCTTACCATGTGGTGCCCTCCTCCCGTCCATGAACACAGTGAACCACAGGGTAGCTGTCCCTCCTGTCCTCCCTTGTTCTGGCCCTGGTGGGTTGACAGCATTTCTGGTGGTAACATGGTGGTTGATTACATATTTTAATGTTGGTATTGGTCTGTGTATCTAAAGGTTAAAGGTAGGTTATAATAACAGTTAAAATGCTAATATTCTCCTTTAAACCCCCAAATAAAGGGCCATGGTCATATATTTTCACACTTTTTTATTATTATTGATTAGTTTGCTATTGTTTTGGTGGTATTTAGGGTGGTTGTTTATGGGGTTGTACAGTGCCATGTGCATGTAAATTTAGCTCTGTCTCGTTGTGAAGTATTTGAACTATGATTTTACCATCTTCTTATGCCTTAGTTATACTGAATGCGCTTTCTCCAGTCTTTACAGCATGGTATATAATGTCTGATATTGCACATCAGAATATAGTATGAGAAGGCAATCAAAAGTGGTAGAATTTTATAGGAAAGGTGAATATGCCATGATACTACACATGCATAAAATTAATCAAATAAGGTCATATGCTTCATGTCACGCATGCACTGTACAAAACTACAGACATCTATTGGAAGAAAAAACCTTCACAAGATTGTGAGGAGAAGTTCTTTTTTTCCCCAGCAAATGACTGTAATTTCCTAGGGTGCATGCGCTTAATGAAGGGTTTGATGTCATGCACTTCATCTTGTGCATGCGCAGTATGACAATACTCTGAGCTCTCACAAGAGCTTACAGTTGGGGGTACAGGATTTTCCTGGAAGCAATGGTGACATTGCCTTCCCAGGGGGCATCTGTGTGGCCAGAGTTACATCACCAGTGCAAGGCACAAAACCCTAAAAACACTGTGTTATACAATTTTACCTTCGCATACAGAGGCATGCTGATATGAAATTTAGGTCCCCTTTAACCACTTGCCCTCTAGAGGATTTACCCCCCACTAACTTCTTGCCGACCAGCCACTGTAGAAATACGGTGGCAGGTTGGCACGGCTGGGCAAAACCACGTTTTAAAATGTGCGTTTGCAAAACAGGTAGGAGGCGCACGCGAGGCACGTGCCTGCCCTACCCGTCCCGCCGATCGCAGCCGCGGGTGTCAGTCACCGGGTCACGGCCGGTCATTACCTACCGTGTCCCGGTGATTAGCGGCAATCACTGACAGAACCCCCCCCCTCCAGACATGCTCACTTCAGCTACTCTTTGAGCCAAGCTAAATTTACCTATCTAGCACACTAGAGGATGTAGCAATCGTGCCCACAGAGAAGGACGCAGTCCTCCATTTTGTTAAGAATTTTCCATGTTGTACCATTTCTCACTACCAAAGCAGGCTGCCTCTTCCAATCACCTCCCCTCCCTCTCTGTTGAGTGACATATGGTCTGAGTGTGTTTGCAGAGGTCACAGGCAGCCAAAGCACAGCAGGAGAGCGTGCAGGCTATAAAACCTCACTAGCTGGGTGCCTAGCTGTCTAAGAAACTGTGCAATCTGGCATATC